TGCTATCCACTATTACCGCGCGCGATTCAACCCGAGTCAAGAAAGTGTTGCACATCCCAAGAAACAAAAAAAAAAAGAAAATGCCTAAATTATGCGCCGCTTTGGGGTGCCAAAACCGTCAAGTGAAGATTTCGAGATGGTCATTTCGCACGTAAGTAGTGATCGAATATTATGCGACATATTCATTGAATAGTAAGAATTACCAAATTTTACCATGCGCTAGTTATATGGCTTGCATCGAAGCTCCGCATTTGATATTCCAGATTTCCTCGGACAAATGACAGCCTTCTGCAGAAGTGGCTCCTCGTATGTCGGGCGAACTTTGCTTCAGCAGCACACCACGTAATTTGCTCATAACATTTCCAGCTGCATTGCTTGAAAGATGGTTTGTACGAGAGGAGCAGGCTCAAGGATGATGCGATACTCACCATTCCTGTAGCCTCAGCATCGTGTGTAAATGTATGTGTAAGGTAACAAAATACCAATATATCGAATGCAGATCTTTGTTATTCTGTTTGGTGTGCTCACAAGTGGCTCAACAAAAAAGTCAACAGCAAGAAAGCAAGTGATAAAATATAAAAAAAAAAATTAAAACTAAATACAAAAGGCACCACATATGTGTTATCAACATGTCGACATGCCTTTCCTAAACGTTCTCAGAGCCCAACACAAGTGTAAACCTTTCTTATCATGGCTACAAAAAAGCTGCAAACGTCATCGGGGAATGAACATTCAATAGTAACAAGGAGGTTCACTGGGCGACCTAGTAAAAGTTTGGCATGGGCGGGGGGGGGGGGGGGGGGGGCATTACAACTTTAAAAAACGAGGACAATAAAAGAAACAGACACTACAGAACAACAGCTGTTGTCCTGTAGTGTCTGTTTCTTTCATTTTCTGTATCTCTTCCACTTCCACGTTGTTTTTGTCGATTTCATGCCTTTCAGGCCTTTCACGCGTTCCTTTCGGTCTCGTCTAATCGCCAGTTCTCTGCGAAAGGAAACCCCGTCAGAATTTGTCTTTTTATTTCTGGTGAAAGACGGCTATCGTGACGTGTATGATATGTAGGATATATATATAAATATAGCCCAGGGGACAGTCAATAGGCCCGTTGCTCTCAAGTTTTGAGCAGCGGTCCAGGCGAGCAAAATAAAATATTTGGCTCGCGTTTCGAACATGCCCGTCAATACGGTTCCCTTACTACAGTTCTTTATACTCCGTTCCATTCCAAGTGCCAGCGTAGCATGCAGAGGCTAGAGATGCGAGCTGCGAGCTTTCAGCGTCCCTGGCAAGCACGCGCGCTTCTGCAGTGCGAGCATCATTCAGGAGTACGTGCGTTTGCGAGTAGCTTCGGCTTCGCTATCACGTAAAGTGAAATATACGTGCTCGCGGAAGCTGTGAAAGAATGCAAAGATGAAAGGATTGCTTAATGGAACGCTGTGACCACGAGCTGCATAAATTTTTATTCATTTATTTTTATTTATTTTAGAATTTTTGTTATCGCGCATCTTCAGATGCTGACAGATGCTCGTATTCGAACGTGGCACGTGCAAAATAAAACGTTACAGAGCCACCTGGGTGGTGTAGCCAGCATAACAGGGTCGCGTCTTGGGTAAGTATTTCGGACGCGCTCGCGCCCCCTGCCCCAAAGCAACGTGTCTAATAGGCCCGTAGCTCTCAAGTTTTGAGCAGCGCTCCAGGCGAGCAAAATAGAATATTTGGCTCGCGTTTCGAGCATGCGTCAATACACTTCCCCACTACAGTTTTTTTTTATACTTAATGATGTACCGCAGGAAAGGATAGAAGCGCGAGCTCCTTGCTCTAGGGCACATCTCGGCGGCACAGGCTCTCGTGCGTTAAGACTCCTGCCAACGCTATGAGCTCGCGCTTTTAGCCTTGTCTGCGTTACAGCATAAGGTGAAACAGAATATAGAAGAGCGAGCTCCGAGCTTTCAGTGTATATACTTCCAAGCACGAGCGCTCGTGCAGTGCGAGCATCGTTCAGGAGGACGTTCTTTTGCGAGTATAGCATCGGCTTCGCTATCAAGTGAAGTAAAACACACCGCCTCACGGAAGTTATCAAAGAGAGCAATAAAGTAATAAAGCTGAAATAAATGTTTATTGGAACTCTGAGGCCGCGAGCTGCATATTTCTTCTTTTTTTAAATTTTAGTTTTTAGACGTTTTGTTATCGCGCGTCTACACAGATGCTGATAGATGCTTACATTCGAACGTGGCACGTGCAAAATCGAACGTTACTGCGCCGCCTGGATGGTGCTGCCAGCATAACATGGTCGCGTCTTGAGGACGCGCTCGCGTCCCCTGCCCGAGAGCAACGGGTCTATAACAAAATATTGACGCATCTATTTTTTCAACGTTCCTTCTTATTTCAAGTTTTGGTCTCCATTGATCCGGCCACAATCACTTTCAGTCTCGTTTCCGTCATCTGAATGCTATTACAGCTTGAATAAACACAACGTACTTGTTAATCGTTCTTTTTGCTTGTATTGGTAGCTTGCATTTACATATCATGCTATCGGGTTATGGGACCCTACACATAAACAGGTGATGCGGCACCTGTGCAGAGAGCATATGCACTAATCACGAAGAGACTAATCGTGAACTGCACACTCGAGGTACATCTACGCGAAGCATTTCGGAGGGGAGTGACGGCCGTGATCCGTCGACCGTGCCTCAAGATGCATGCAAATCTTTTCTTTTTATTGTCAAAAGTTTTATTTTTCAATGCTACAATTAACTTTGTGTGAAGTACACGTGCTACAGATTTAATTTGTTGTGTAATAAGCAATAATAAAGATATCTAGAGCCTATATGTTACCAGGCACGTAGCCAGGATTTTGTTTCGGAAAAGGGGGGGGGGGGGGGGGGTGCGCCCATGACAAAATGCCGTACGAGGGGGAGGGGGGAGAGGAGCTCCCAGCAACATGGAAGATTTAGGGGGGGGGGGGGGGGCCGGCCCCATGTCCCCCCCCCCCCCCCCCCCCTGGCTACGAGCCTGTATGTTACAATGAGAACTCAACCATAAAAGCACTCCGTATGGGATGGGAAATATAAGTTATTTAACGGCTTCCCAATGTTAGAAGAACCTCAGATGAAAAATATAATCCAAAATCGTACGCCAACCTAACCATGTTTGAACAATGTCGACGTTATATTTCTCGAAAGTTGGTGCCAATCTTTTTGAGTTATTTACACTAAGCCTCTGTCTACAAAAGAAGAAGAGGAAGAAAAAAAAAAAAAAAAAAAGGCACACGTAAATTATAAATGGTGTGTTGAAAAGATTTTATGAATTCTAATTGCTTCAAGTATATGTTAAAATGGCGAATATGCAAGTAGATAGTAGTTAAATTGATCGTTTGTAACAATAAGATGACTTATCAGATGACACACTGAGAAAATCCTCTATTAGATCACATCATGTTTATAATATTTAGACAACACATATTCTTCTATTAATGAAATAGTCTTTTGAAATATTAGTTTTCAGTGGTATAAATAAAATAATGTGTGTATCTTTATACAGCCGGAAGTTAGTCAACTTCAATGGGTGTCTGGTATCTCAGCTGTAGATGAGAAACTTAGCCAGTGCAGTAGAACCGCTAGCCTGGGCTGTTTTATCGTGCACCATGCAGTAGTGACGCAGGACCGCAAGCCGATCTGTTGCTCATACACATCGAAACTGCCAGGGGTGGGAATTAAGCCCAGGATACCTGGGTTCTGCAGCGCCAGCTTTCGCTGCACGAGCACCAAGCAGATGTGCGCAAGCCCATTCGGCCATCGATCGCCCCTCAGCGGTATAGATATAACTAGCAAAGGGTTTAAAAGGGTACGGAAACAAAAATTGAAATATTCAAATTTCGTTCGGAAATGAGTCAAGTATGACGGATAATAGCCGTAAATGATAGTCGCACGTTTGTATTTTGAACGACTGGCTATATTTTTCTTTCTAAAGGGTGCACTCGAGCAAGCGCTCGAAGAGAAGCGAACGGAGAGCTTGATGCGTCACGGAATATCCGGCGCAAACAAAAAAAAAGAAAAAAATCGAAGATTTCCCGCGTTCGTGACGTGATGAGGCTGGCGTGGTTATGAGCTTTGCAGTTGGTGGCGTTGTCAGCGTTGTGGTGGTGTCAATAGCGTCAACGCGTTACAACCGAGCCGTTCGAAGTACCCGTGGGGTGACGATCGAGCGTGTGGCTGGCCCAAGGAGCACGTAGCTTCAACAGCACTATCAGCTTAGGGCTCAACGGGGTGGGGAAAGCAACTTTTGTCCGAGTTTTGAGCTACTGGCTAATCTTCTAGGGGGAGAATGGCTGTGGTGTCCAGGTACACAAACGAGGGCCCAAGAAAGAGGGGAGTTCCTTCTTTCCGTCTCCTTGGACTGTTTGGTTCAATGCGCGATTTCTGAGTTGAGGAGGAAAGCTAAGAAGGAAAATGTTGAAATTCCAAAGGGCGGCGCTGCTCCGATGGAACTTGCTACGTCATGACTACGTAGCAAGTTCCCCAACGTTTCTAGATTACTTTCCAAATCGGCTTCGCATGCATCCACCAGCTGCACATTGAAAGATCATTTAATTAGCTTTAAAACTACTTTGCTTGTGCCTTTCAATGCAAGACTGGTGCTTTTGAGGTTATGCGGCAGCATGCAACACATTAAAGTTAAAAAATGAGCGCTGGAGTTTCGTTTTTCCTACACCTTTAAGGAATCGTACGGTAGGATGGGCCCTTCGGTAGCGTACTTCGCGTATGCGAGTCTTCTGCGGTAGCCCATGCACAGTTTGTACCGGAGGGCACATAATACTACAGTGAATGTGAAAAACTGGTTCTTCCAAACTCCCTACTACGCCTAAAATTGTGCAGCCCTCTCGATATATGTGCGCCATCGAATAGCTTAACATTTGTTTATTTCTAATGAAAACAATCTCATGAGGCATCAATTCAGTTCATCGGGAGATATCCAGGCATGGTAGGAACATTTGCTAATTTTTAATGTAACAGCTTCTGTAACTCGCCACTTTTCCTGGAGATACAGATAGAACGTATCCATAGAGTGATCATGACAGGCAGCTGCAAAAGGAAAAAGAAAACAGGAACTTCAAATACACAATTGCCTGTGCAATAAAATATCAACGACCGAATATTTGTTGGTGCGTCCACGTATTTGAAATATTGCTGTTCAACCTTTTTCCCTTTATTTATTAGATGAGTTATATAATTGATATTTGTTTAGTATTCATATGGCACTACAACACCCGGGCTTTTTATTTTTTTAGTATATCTATTATAATTTTGCCGCTGGCTTTAGAATGATAGGTATTATCGCTCCTATAATGGATGAAGGTTTCCAGGTGGCAGAGCTCCTTGGGCCAAAATTTTCCCTTTGACTGGGAATTTAAGACATCGAAAAGCCCGAAAAAGCTAAGGAATAGAGCCTAACTTGACCTTCTTTGATCAGAGTCTAGGTGTCTTGACCCCTAACTCGCCAAACAGGTTCTAAACGGGATGACAGCCAAACAACTGCCGGTTGTTTGGCTGCCATCTTGCATCCTTAGGCCTAAATCACAAGATACGCGCTAGAGTTAGGCTTTACTTCTGGTTGTTCCGGTTTCACGTGGCAACTTTGGACCAAAGCTGTCCAACGAATTGCGCATTTAGGCTTCGCTGCTGGTTCTTCGGTTCATGCGGGGCGACCTTTGCTCAAGTCTGGAAGTTTGACAATTGTGGAGCGAGCCAGGGAATGGCCATATAAACGCCAAAGAAAGGCTCTTTGACACTAACCAACGCCTTGGAGCAAAACCACATAAGGTCCGAGTTGCAACCTTGAGATTGCCAAGCATAAGTCAAGTTAGGCATTTCACTTGCGTGCTATCTGGGTTTAAATTGTGTACAGTCAGCACAGAATGAAACCCGAGCGCCGGAACGCGTGGCCATTGACACAGGATGCTCCGCGTGGAAGGCCGCTGAGAACTAACGAAAATGCGCCGGGGTGCGAGGGTGCGGGTCCTACTAATGGCGCGTTCACACTGGAAGCGGATCCGCGTTCGCGAAGCGGATCCGCGCGTTCTCAACCGCAAAGCGGCTAGGATCGAGCGGTTGGAGCGCGTTTTCGCCAACCGCTTCGGGACCGATTTCTCCCAACCGCTTTCACGAACCGCAAAGCGGCAACCAATCACAACGGGACGCTGACGTGACGTCAGTGACTTTCGAAACAAGATGGCACCTGTCGCTGGTGAGGCGTCCAAGGCGCTGTAGTCCTAGCGCTGTAGTCTTAGCTTTCGACAAATCAACGGAGAAACTTGATGTTCACGTCCGTCACTTGAATCCGCCGTGAAAAGAATCGACTCGTAATTTTAACGGGCTTGGCACCGGTGATTTGGTTCGGGTAAGAGTTTGTTTATTATTCCGGGCGCCACAGCCCAAGCTCGCTGCCTTGCTAATCTCTGCCTGTAGAACGTCGGAACCCGCCCCTGATCGACCGAAATGTCAGCTTTTCTACCTACTAGGATAGCCGCGTGAACTATTGAAAGCTTTCGACACCGTGCATGACCACCACGAAGGCCGATAGAGACGTCGTAAGCTTGATTGCGTAGCCAACGCACTACTACGGAGGGGGCAGGGTACCTGCGCTAGCTCGACCTGTAACGTTTACTACTAATAAAATAAATAAAGGGAACCTACTCAAGGAATAAAGTGTACGTACCAGACAATGCAGAGGTAATCCATACGGCGTTTATTTGAGCTTAATGTCAAACAAACAGTAGACTCGATTGACGAGCGAGTGACGAGAGGAGAGTCCGCCACCAACGAAGCCACGACCGGCTAGCATTGAACACATTGCCCCGCACCACGGTCCACCCCACTGCTCACAACTTCGAAAATGATAAGAGCGAACAACGAAGGGGGAAAGCTGGCCCTCTATCCCGAAAACAAGTTCAGCTATTCGTTCGGGAAGGGTCCACTTCGAAGAAAATGTCGGGGGCATCCTGTTCTGAGTCAGCAAGGCGCGCCTAGCTGGGCTTTGCTTGTGGGCGAAGTCGAAAGAATCAGAGGCCAGTTTGGCGGGTCCATGCTTCTTTTTTCGCTGCCTGAACTCGTGATGCGTGCGAACATCCCGGAGAAAAATATTCCGAGTGCCAAAATAGCAAAACTTTGGCTTTGGATCTTGAATTAAAGTGGATTGTGGATTGTAAAACAGGGTTGCCAAACGCAAGTCTCAAAAGATCACGCGTGATCGCCGAGAAACCGCCAACCGCCTCTCGGTGTGTCTGAACGGGGTCGCTCGCGAACCGCATCCGCGACCGCTTCGCGAACGCGGAGCCGCTTCCAGTGTGAATGCGCCATAAGATGTGCTCGAACCTTGCGCGGTGCGTCTGGGACTTCCGCGATTCGCCGGTGGCGCGCTGTAAGCGCCGTCACCCGGTTGTGCTTTTGTGTCGCCGCACTGTCCCCCGATAGACACCTTCTGCTCCTAGCACCGACCTTCTCGCGCCGCGCGCAAGCCGCAGGTGTCCACAGGGCGACAGGGCAGCGAGACAATAGCACCCCGAGTGACGGGGGATACAGCGCGCCACCGGCGAAACGCGGAAGTCCCAGACGCGCCGCGCGAGTGTCGAGCACATCTTAGTATGACCCGCACCCTCGCACCCCGGCGCATTTTCATTAGTTCTCTGGAGCCCTCCAGGTGGAGCAGCCTGTGTCAATGGCCACGCGTTTCGGTGTTCGGGTTTCATTCCGTGCTGACTGTACATCGTTCATGTGTTTCGTTTCTTTGTTCAAAGCAAACGCAATGGTTTATGTAGAGTAAGAAATTAGCTAATGCCATATAATGAATTACGCATGGAAAACATGTAAGCACGCTTTAGTGGCACTGTATATCATTCCGGCTTTCATGTGTCTTCTTTATATCCCTAAATATCTTTTTCGTGAATTTTGGCCTAAAAACTCTGCCCGGAGGGGGACTATAGCACCAGGTTTTATTTTGAATAATTGCAAGTCGTCTCAGTAATGGTCTGAAATCTGCGGTTTACTTGCCCCAATCATATAATTACCGTAATTAAGAATTTGCTGCGTAAAAAAAATTATTTGAGGGTGCGATTAAAAATCATTTTATGCTTTAAAGGATGTTGAGGTGAATTTTGGATTTCGGTAAATAAGGCCGCAGAAGCGTTGAACGGGATGCTACGAACTCCAAAACATCAATCGTACATCGATATCTCAAACAGATCGCCGTATTTTTGGGAAAGAAAAGCGCGATCAAGCGAGGAGTGTGGCGTCACGATCCTCCTGTAACAGTTGAGAATGAGAGGAAGCGCCCTTGTTTCTTTTCTCATCGCTTCGGTTCACCTGCTGGAGTTTACGAAGTGAAGAGGAGAGGGAATGAGGATCGTCACGTGACATATCTCGTCGGCCTCGTCGGGCGTGTTCAATCGCTCAGTTTAAGAAAAAAAAATGTGGCCAACAGTTAGAAATACCGCTGTATGAGTTATGTTTCTGGGCCTTGCAGCGTCCCGCCTATCGCTCCATCCTTGTTTTGTGAGCTCCAAATTTCGCTTCAGTGTTCCTTCAATATCGCCATTTGAAGCAAAGAAAAGAACACGTTTCATTTTACATATAGATTAAGCTTGTTTCCACACATGCCTGATCTCCATCTAAAGTCTATCTGAAGGTGCATGGTTGTTACGTCAGTAAGTTTAGGTGAAACGATGGTACTCACCCATGCAGTCAACAATCCCAATATTGTCATAGTCGCATTTCTGTAGCCAAGCGTTTCCGACAGGTAGCCGGCAAGAGGAGCCGTGACCATTGCACTGATATTACAAAATAGAATAGATATCAGAGAATTCAACTTGGTTCTTGAGTAAGTTTTTAGGAATTTGGGAAGCAGACACCGCCGCGTCCACTTATCAGGCGAATACATCTAGCAAGTTCTCCTGAATGAAAATATGTGAACTTAAACTTGAAGTTTTAAACCAGAAATATGTGCCTAGAACACCGGACAAAAAGCATCCAATAGGAAGCTTGAGTACGTCCGGTGTCCCTGAACGCACATAACACGAGGTTAACCGAATTCCTAAGGGTTGAAATTCCCGGTCATTGCAGTTCGATTATTTATGTGTTTGTGCCCTCCATGCTCTAATGGCTCGTCACGCAGAATAGCTACTTTAGTAAATAAATAAATGAGTAAACGAAAGGAGAGAAGTCAAAGAGTAAACTGCTTATGGCAAATTTATAACTCACCCGAAAACAAGGAACGTGAACACTGTGCTTGAAACAAAACTGTGAGTGTTTATGTTATCTGGATATCCTCTTGATCTGTAAGTATGGTCACAAATAAAAACAAATTATGAATTCAGAACTGGAAATAAGACGCACTTTTGCCGGCAAACTTAAATAAAAAGGTACCAGCATTCTTCGTCAAAGATAGTGCGACTTTCAAATGCAGCACACTACAATTCCATGTATACACGCGGATGGTTGAGGATTGATGTTCTGCACCAGAATTTGCCATGACAGCCGAGAATGGCCCGGAGCTTTGCAGAAGATCAAAGATTGAGAAAAAAAAAAAAAAAAAACGGGCCGAGCGGAGTTTGAATTCTGTTCCTCCGCTCCTCAGCAGTGTGCGTTGCCAAATTCGCCACGCACGCGGAAATATGTTATAAATGTCAGAAATACCTAATTGTGCGAAATACGTTTCATACTGAGTTAGGCGTTAAGATTAACAACAAAACAAAGCTAATGTGACCCAGCGAAATAGTTTATAGACAATGATCAAAGGAGTATAGTAGTCTTGAACTTGAAAGGTACTCACAGAACATGGCTGAGTGCTTGGCAGTAACCACAAACAAACTGTGATGCCATCCCCAAGCCAATGAAAACTTGAGAAACATTGATGATTGCGTAGCTCCTTGACAACATGAAAAAATAGAACATGGAGATCATCAATCGATGAACCCGAATGTCTTGCAGTTCCATGCCAATTTATTGCTTTCAATTAGGCGAGTTGCTAAAAAAATGTTACCTCTCAATATCTATGAATGGTGCCGGGCCAACCAGAATGTACCCGACTATCGCAAAAACGTGACCGATAACTGCATAGTACGCTCCAAGCTGAAATGAAACGAATGAATTGAAAACATAACTATACCACCCTGGAGAAATATTGGGTTGGCGGTGTCAAGCACATTGGGGTGTAACTTCGGAAGGTTTGGATCACAATAGTAAACATATTACATCAACGTAGCTGTATTAAGAAAATACGCGTTTTTCAAAAACCGAATTCTGTTCAAAGTCTTGATAAAAAATTCATAACTCAGTTGGTGGGACTTCTTTATATCAAAAATACGGCTGGGTTTGAAATATTAGGAGTCTATTTTGCTTCAAATAGACGCACGCCCGCTGGCAATATGAAGGTGAACACCTTACCTGGTTTCTTGCCTGTTTTACAGCTCCCTAAAGCTTTATTAACTCTCAACGTCTCAAATGGTACGTGGCTTGGGGTATAAACTTTGCGTTCTAGCCCTCTTCGGGAACGGAGCATGTTCCAAAACTTGCAGGAGCGTCAAAACAAGAAGAAGGCTGTTCACCTTCATACCGCTCACGGGTGTACCTTCAGAACCCTTTTCATAACCTATCGGGTGCATAAACAGTTCACTCGCAGATTTTATTATTTTGCATAGCGTAATCATCTGCCGCTGCAGCTTACTCTAGTGCTTTCGAGGGTTTAGAATCTCGCGTCTGCTGTCTGACGGGATGTCGTTTGTAGTTTTACAATAGGTTTTTTGCATTGTTTTTGTATTTTGACAATGTATTAGTTAATTTTCAGCTATAGAATGGCTATATGTTTTCTAATATTGTCGTTTAGCCTTAACGAGTCCTTATAATGCAAAGCTACATTATTCTCTCCAGTACGTGGGTTCATTCATTTGTTTATACTGCTGTACTATTAAATGCAAGAGCAAATATAAATGAAAACAACTATAATTTCAAAAGCCGCATTACAACCTCATAGTGGCAGAATGTTCCAGCGATGACGCCTCCCATTGCGTAGCACAAAAACTGAACGGTAAATATGTTTCCGACCGTTGTGCTGTTATAGCCTAACTGGAAGGATACAAGGAAAGGCATAGTCAGTTGCGAGCATTGAGGAGTATGGAATGAATTAAAGGGGTCATTGCGCGATTATGTCAAGAAAGAAAGATTAAATATTTTAGCAAAGATTTTTCTCATTGGTTATCAAACATGCATGCAGTATATAACATTTCTATCGCGAGCACTCTCGCGCAAAAAAAAGGACTTTAAGATCAAGCCACGGGCTGGCGCCGGTAGCACTGACAGCGTTGTAGACTACATAAAACAAAATACAGTAATTATTTCATAAAAAGTGTAGAATTTTTTGTTTACTTTTGGAACAGCCCCAGGGCAGTGAACAGAAGGGTCCTAGGTCGGCTGCTAGTCAGAGTTACTGGTGGTCGCAAAGCGAAACTTAGGGCAGGCCATGCCACGGACAGACGAGCTCTACGTTGCAGGCAGCACGGCAGGATACTCGCAAGTTCGATCTCGAGATTGGGTCGAATTTTTTCGGCCGCGTAAAGACTTAGATTTACAAAAATTTAGCGGAAGGGGCGGTGCAACGAGCTTCCGACTTTGGCCAATTAACTGCGGGAATTAATATCTGTCACCTATGGAACGAAAACCAGAAAACCGTACTTTCTTGCGGGCGCTATATCTTATTGAAAAAATATCGATGGTCGGATTGCCTCTAAACTTTCACGCCGTCTTTCGAGTGACGTACTCTGAGGGACCACCTGGTTTCCCGTTGAATTTTTTCTTAAGAGACCCCAGCCACTTCCTCTGCGATTGTCGACTTTTCAAGGATTAGCATCGTCGAAGGTCGCGGCGAGCGTTCGTCACAAATTACGGTTCGGCTCGGGGCTGACGGCGAATGTAGTAGCGGAGTGCACGGGTTTTGTTGATTTCAGCGCGTCGTCCAGAGACGTGTCATCCTAGTTCCCGCAATCACCACACGCGGCTGCAAATCGGCAAATAATTAGTTTTTTTCTTTTTGATTACTCAGCGGAATAGTAGTACTTCGGTGCACGGTGACGCGTATTTTTTGTCAGTTGTGCCCATATAAACATTATAAAAATTACAAACTGCAAATTTCTTTAACCTTAAAATCGTTCCGGTACCCCTTTAAGACGACTGTACCTTTCCAAAAAACAATGACTACCAGGTCAAAATATTAATTTTTTCACGAAGCACATGACAGAACTGACCGAAGCTACACTCTAAAACTTCAAGTGCGTGTACTTTCCAACAAAGGACTCGAGGGAGCCAATCACTGCATACTTCGCAGGGAGCTCGGCCAATGACAAAGCTAAAAATATATTTTGAATTGAAAAAAATATAGTTTGCTATAAGAAATTCAGCAGGATGATTAAGCTGCTTTCGTCGTGCCCAGTTTTACAGAGCATAAAGTACATTGATACTTTCTTTTGCAAGTAGCGACAACCAACACACATGACGAAGCTTATTCTGCTGGAACAAAATGACGTCTTTCAGTTCATACTGCTGCTTTGAGCAGCCATTCGATTTCTAAATCCAGCACCACCACGCAATCAACGCTTCAAAAAACGACATTACTTGTAAGAAGCACGAAGTGCGACTTTTATCTGGGAATATTAACGTAGCAAACTGCGAACATGTTTTCAGCTTCGTTCGCAAATGGCCGGGCTTCGTCCAAGTATGCCATTGATCGATTCTCGCAATTGGTTTGTGGGTTAGTAGAGGCAGAACATTTCTTAAAGTGACTATATTGTAGAATCATATCCTAAGACAAGAATATTCTCAAAGTATCAATTCAAAATGAACAAGAAAAATCTTGAAAGCTTATAATATGGTGGTAAAGACTACTCAGGTTTGTGAGACGACAACGTTCATCATCGTTATATGTTGTTATAATATGTGTTGCAAAAGCTGTATTACAAAAAAGAAAAAAAAAAAGAAGCAATGCATATTCGTTGAATTCTCATTCGTGTCTCCCAGACGTAGACGTCGTAACGGCTTCCTGTAGTCTCGAGACCTGAGTTTTAAAACTTCGCTCGACTTGATGGTGGCAGGTCTTCTTTAGGGCGGATATAAAGGGGTGGCCAACACAGCCCTTATATCCGCCCTAAAGAAGACCTGTCACCATGAAGTCGAGCGAAGTTTTAAAACGTCATAACAGTTAGCGCACCTCTCTCTCCCTCGTTTTTCTGCTGCAAACGGTATTTATTTGCTCTCTTAAATATCCCCTGCACGGGTTCACAGCAAGAATGGCGTTTACGAGGCGGGACAGCGAGGAGAGACTGGCCCATGACGTAATAAGTATTTTCCAATACGGTTGCCTCTCTGAGTGGGCGAAGCCTTGGTGTACGCAACAAATAATATTTATTTGTGATGCCAACGCTCCTTCAATAGAACAGATTCTAGCGCCATGTTTTATCTGAGATGCAATGCTTTTTTGTGCGTGTACCACGACTGATTTATAACTCAGAGCGTAGTGAAGAGCCCTACCTCTGCAAGACTGGGTTCCAGAGTCGGTTCGTTGAACCCCAGTATGATCCAGCTCATCATGAGTGTTACCATATGCGCCAGGAAAACTGGATCCAGAAGAAGCGCCCAATTTCTTGCTCCTCCGACATTTGGCACTTCCGTGTTTGTTGACTGCCCTAGAAGTTACAACCAATACATTGCTTTAAAAAAAAATTAAAAGAAAAACATGCAACAAGGCAAAATTAGAAACCGCAGAATTTCAGTTTTCAGAGTGGACCCGATGGCGTGTAGGCCCTTCAAAGTGACCAACTACTTTTATTAACGTCTTGCGCTACGCTTTACTAGATCGCACGTTCCTGTAGATGGTGCATTTTGAGTTCCAAAATTTGAAAGAGTAAAACTACCCGGAGTAAAATGTAAACACAAGACGGAACACGTCTTCGTGTACGACGTAGACATCTGATTATTCGCCCCTTTTTTTTTTTGCAACAAACACAGTGGTGCCACCTACTGGGTAGCCCCCGCATACTTCCGGTATATTTCCTAATTTTTTACTCGTCGTTCTTTTATAAAGGGAATGAATTAAGACTGACAGTGCTACAGATGGTCATTTTCAGAAGATAGCGTGTATATTTGACTTCGCGAAAACTGCGAAACCCGCTGTCTGTGTTTAAAGCCGGAAGTGGTTAGGGGTTATTTGCATACTGGAGCCACCACGTTTCTACGCACGCGAGAAAGAGCGAATAGCCACACGACAGTCGTCTGAGTGTCGTCACGACCAACAGATGGAGGAAGCCGTCCTCGAAGAGTCTCATTCAATGTATTTGAAAAAGAGCAACGTGTGCGATAGGAAAACGTGACCCGCTGCTTGTAAGAATGCGCTGCTTGTAGGCATGCTTTCGCATTCCTACACGCAAGAAGTCTTAAATGTCTTCAGCGAGCTTTTACCCCGTTTTGTTGGAGCTAACGCAGCTGTTTCTATGGCAACCCTTGCTTTCGGTCGGACTCAAGGCAAGTGTGTGAATTGCCCTTTATTCTTACAGCTGCGTATAGCCCTTAACGGGATCAGAACGGCAGAGTGACTCCATTTGGTGACTCTTCAGAATACCCGACCCACATCGCATATTGTGACCTTCCGTCATGCTTTGACTGCGAGGTGCGCAGTTGAAGCTTACGAGGCGCCGAGCTTTTATCGAAGATGGGAAGCAATAGCACTCGAATGCGTAAATGCTGGACAAAAAGATAGCAAGACGTACGATGTATAATTATTCTGGAACAGACTGGCGGGCCTGTGTCCGATTTTTACGTCACAGCGCTTCCGTTGTAGGGTCAGTTTCTTACATGGTTTATGTAATATGTAGTAATAATTTACCATTGCATATTATTACAAAGATCGCACATTCCCAAGATAATGAGATTCACGCTACAAGGCTCTCCATTGGCAATAGCTCCGTGTGTTAAGAAACAAAGTAAATATCTTTGATATACTAATAAGGTCATCTTCAGATATGAACTCGGCGTCCTATATCGTCGATGAAAGGCCCATCGACACTTGTTTCATACTTTATATTCAACAATGCTTTATCGTCACGGCCTCGTCTTTTCAATAAGACGCGCTCGAATTGCCCATCCGGGTGCGACGGCCGCAAAAAAAAAAATGTTCACCCCAACAAAAAAAAGAAAAGAAAAGAAATACTTTCGTGAGTTCGTTCCCAGCTGCTCACATATATTGCGTTCATTAGCACAGTACCGGACGCTTCAGATAAATTTGCCCCATGCAGAGCAACACCCAAACTTAGATGACACAAGAGTAAAAAGCCACGAGAAAGAGCACGTTTGTTCGAAAACCGAAACTCGCCTTAACAAAAAAAACCTAGGTTTAAATAAAGAAAAAAAAAAAAGCGGAACTGCAAGGAAAGTGTGCATATATAAATATAAGTTACCTTCGCTTTGGTTCAGTTTCGACGCATTTATGACGATAAATGGTAAAGACAAGAATGTGATGCCTCCCAAAACGAAGAAAGGCAGGGGATACGCCCAGAGCTGTGGTAAGAAAAACGAAACGAGAAATTAAATGTTTACAGCGTACTATACAGTACAGAAAGAAATGTAAAGGTTAACCGGGACCGTTAAAATAATGCGAAGCTCTCATGATGTAAACAAGTTTCTCACATCAATCAAGCGTCCTCCTATGGCAGAGCCAGCCATGGTCCCAGATCCAAACAGAATTTCGAGGCTTGCCTGAAAGTAAACGTGATAGCAGCGCCACGTCAAAGAAGGTTGTAAAAGGGGAAAGTTTGCTTAGTATAGGCGTTTTGAAGCAGCCGCGCTTCGAGAGCTAGTCTAGCCACCGTGGGTGGAAAATGCCTGCTTAGGCGACAGTCTGGAAACCTTATGTACGCCTCAGCAATGCTTCAGTATCAGACGATCTACTCAGACCAGCAGTAAGATGGCGGCGCCCCAAAACCGTACTTGCCAACATCTATAGCTTATAATGTTTATAATTTTACCTTAGGCGCACATATCGGCTAACTGAACAACCTCATTGACCGCCAAGCAAGAATAAGATGATTGGGACTTGGTCTGTCCTGCGTTTCTTAAGTGTCAGTGACTCCATTAACTACAAACAAAATGAACGGCGCTCCCCTTATAGAGGTGGCCTGAAAGCCCGCAAATGACTTACGCTTCTGGTTAAAAAAAAATGTCCGAAAAGTGGATGAGACGCGACCCATGAGAAGCCCGGATGAAGAATGTGTGACACACAATAGTCACTTTTCAAACGTCCAGCAATGCCGGCCAGGCATTGGTGGCCATTGCCTGGCCGCCATTGCTCGATCACGTACTCGGATCATCTATTGGACACGAAGGTGTCGTCAGCGTTCGGCGTGGCTTCGGATCCAATCGAGCGCTTCGCGTCCAAGCAATGGCGACCGCCAATGTCGCTTGATGGACTTTTGAAAAGTTTGGGGTAGGAAAAAATAAATACACGCTCTGTTTATTGAGCTCTAAATACATTAATATCGTAGTCACCGAGAGTCAACCTTATTGTCTTTTCCGACTTTTTTTGTTTGCTTTGCTTTTTTCGGTTGTATACAAACCGCGGTAGAACGTTGCAATTTCAACGCTTGCAACGCAGTTAAGATAATGACTAAACTCTGATTTACTCTTTCATGCTCCAATATCTGCCACGAATGTCCTCCCAGCTGCCAAATACGTAGTGTGGTATCTAGCAGACTCGCTCTCGCCACACGTCGGTCCCGGATGACTTTCAGACAAACGGAGTACTGAAATGCGCGCTAAAACGTTCATAAGCTAGGCGTGACACACGTTACGGTAAGGGTTGGCACTTACTATTATTAGACCGCTGTGAGTTTCGAACTTGCTGGTGACGACGGCGAACATGCTCACGAGGTACAGCGTGTTGGTGAACCCTCCCAGAAGGGCGAAGAGCAGGGCGAGCCCGAGAAGTATTTGGCCGTCGGGGATCCAATACAAACCACTGGAGTGAAAATCCGGCAACGTAAATAGCCGCAAAAAAAAAAAGAAAGCTGTGTTTTTAACTTTATCGAACTCATATGATATACTATGCGCTTTCAGACGCCTCTCAGTGTTTTGCTGATTCAGGATGCACCGGCGACACTAAAGATTGGCATGCGTTTAGTCGGCTGAACCAGCCGGAAATTTCTTTTTTTTTTTTTTTTTCAGGTCCCATTAAGATCATTTCAGATTTCCTTTTTATCATTTAGGACTATCTTAGGGGTTTTTATACGTAAGGCTGATTAACGGAAGCGAAGATCCGCGTCGCGTAAGCATAGCTATAGCTGTACTGTGCCGTCGTCATGTAAATTTAGCCGGTGAACGTTCATAAAAATTTAGCGAACTAACATTCAGCTCATTTTAGTAGGCTAACACTATGCTACATTTAGCGAGACGCGCTATGGATCACTTGGCCACGTGGTTGATGCCACTATGAGCGACGTTGTCACCTGGCTTATTCCAGTAAGGGTCACATGTTACCGCGTGACGCAAGTGGGGCCACGCGAAGTCACGTGGTTTCGCGGTGTCACGTGAAGTGAGGTCGCATGATTCACGGTGCGACATCGTGGGGTCAAGTGACGTCGCCGTGTAACGTGACACTCTCGCAGGTGACATCATGTCACGTGACACATCACTTAAACTCCTTAGCGTTACGTGACAGCGTGGCGTTATGTTATTATACGCACGTTGTCAGGATGCCTTGATTTGGCGCATATGTTTATAATTCATTCTGCATACAGGACGTTAGGGAAGTAGATCAAAGGAGCGTTATAAGGTTTTGCTTAGGCATTGGAGAAGAATTGGTATCGTGCTCTACTGGTTTGGTGGTCTGAATAGTAAAATGGGTTATGCATTTTTGCCTCTGATACAACGTGACGAATAGTACAAGATACGAATTAAGCTCCTTTTTGGCTAAGCTGGCTAAAAAGGAAAAAAAATGATGATGGGTGTTTCGAGTGCATCACGTTGCAGTACATAAGCAGGGTTATTTGAGAACGTGCACAAACAGTGTTCGTACGAATTTTCAGGAATGAGTGTCGTGGCATGTCAGGTTTTATTTTTACTAACACAACCTCCAAAATAGAAATAGTGGTGGAATATAAAAGAAACTATGTTCTCCAGGGGTTCATAAACTTTGAATGCAACGCTATATACTTGATACACTTAAATAGAGTCTATCACTCTGAACTCTTTGCGGCTGCCTGCCGGAAAGAGTTCAGTTTTACATAGGGAATATTGGCACCGATCTTACAACATAAGAGGTATATACTTATCTTGCTCCAACAAACAGTAGATATATGTAATTATTATAAATTATTCATAAGTTTTTCGCTCACATAAACCTTTTTAGTTTTTAACGGTAAAGGGATTAAAGAGTGCGCTTTTTCGGTTAACTTGTCCTGAGTGCGCACTCTAAAAAAAGGGGGGTGTAGGCGTTACACCCCTTGTCACATATACGACACCCCAAAACTTCAGTCGGATGTACAGCACACTGAAGTAATACCGACGCTACCAAATTTCACAAGCGGCTTGATAGCCGAGTTGTACAAGTCATTAAAATAATTAATGTAAGTGTGACTGACTGCAAAAAAAGTTATCGGGGTTTTCTAGGCTCAACTGCAAAACCTGTGCGTTTTTTTCCTGTATACTTTGATACGTACTTTAGCTGTTTAATATGTTATATCGCACCGTCATCAACCCTCCCGCAAAAGTTGGGGCCGTCTGTTCGACCTCAGCGCGCTGTACATCCAACTGAAGTTTTGGGGTGTCGTATATGTGACAAGGGGTGTAACGCCTACACCCCCTTTTTTTAGAGTGCGGTGGGCATATTGCATCCATCCGTGTTGTGGGGTTTATGGTTGTCGATTCAGACTAGGAATGGGCGTCGATTAAAATTATAACCAAATTAATCGGCACCCTTTATTTGAATAATTAATCGATTAATCTTTCACGTTCATTACTATGCTTATTTTAGAAAGTCAAAATTAAATTTTTTTGGTGCATATGGAGATAAATAGCGCAACATACAATTTTGATTACGAATTGACCTCGATGTGTTGTTGAGGACAGTTCAAAGAGACTCATACTCAGATTCTGCAGACACTCACACCTCAGCTGAATGATGCAAAGGGAGTTGTTGGTATTCTTCGGCAAGAGAAACCTCCTTTGATAGTTTGTAATATTGCTTCTACTGCTCTAAACAGACACTCGCACAGCAAAATGTTTAGCTGGGCTTGTTGGTTCATGACTGGAAATAAGCGCCCAAAAGATGGGGACAGGTGAAGACGTGAGTGACAACGCGGGGCGCCCCGTGTTGTCGTCCACTTCTTCACCTGTCCCCGTTCCTTTGGCGCTCATTTCCAGACTCGCACAACGTTGAAGTGACTCGGACACATGTAACTTCTGCACTTGCCTGGAGTTACAAACCTTGTCCCTACAGTTTACTTCAAGCCGGAGTCACACTGCTCATACCATCATACAAAAGACAGTCTGCAAACAACAGTCACCGCAATATCCTTGGTTCGAATTCCGCATGCCAAGTTTCCTCCTTGAACTCATTGCCATCCGGTATTTGATGCATTGATCTCGCGGCGACTGGCGTTCGATTTTGTATGCAGACTGTCTTTTGTATAATGTATAAGCAGTGTGACCCCGGCTCTTCACCAAAAGTTTTCTTTCAGATAGGTGTTCTCGTCCACGTCTGCGTGGTGAAAGCGTTTATTTTTACTTTCTTTTGTTTCGTCAATATTTTGCGAATTAACCAGTTAAAAATATTAATCTCTATTGAAGCATTATTCAATTAAACGATGGTTTAATCTTTCAATTGCCCAGCCCTAGTTCTGACGACATTGGATAGGTTTCGTTGTGTACATGTAAAGGGGGCGGCGTGGGAATCAAGTTTGCAACGATGTGGTAGTTTTCCCCTTTCCTTGCCTCCTACTAGGTTTTTTTTGCCCCTAGAATTATGAATCAAGATTTGCTCTCCATTATTCATAAGCGCATCCGAATTTAGTTTCCTCTACTTAAAAATATTTTTTTTTTCAATATAAATAGTGAAAATTGCAGGGAAACGCTAACGAGAAATATGACTTTTGCCAACATATTTTTGCTCTCAGACAGCTGTTCGGAGTCCATAAAGGTATTTGATATATGGGCTCCAGCCTAAAGTGGAATGCCTTAAACCTAAGTGTAAATTAACTCATATGACAAAGTGTAGAACTTACCCGAATATAAAAGCGAATAAAACAAATCCTCCCTGACCCAGGATGTAGCAGTAGGAGGACGACTTATATGCCACCTGAAAAAGACATTGTTTTTCACCTTGACTGAGTTTTGTAGGCGGATGGAATAAACTCACTTGCAATCAGATAAACGACTGTATCTCTTATTATATTGAATGTATTGGTCTTTCCCAATTATTATCTCAGATCTTCATATTGACCATGAATGATCTCCACGTGAAAACATGAGATAATTGTTTGGGGTAATACATCACGCAGCGTTTTGCGAAGTCTTGCGTCAAGGTGACCTCAACTATAGTTGAGGTCAACTGAACTTGGTAGTTTTTTTTTTTTTTCAACTTCGAATTTCAAGTGTAAGGAAAGATGGGCTCTCTTGAAACTGCACAAAGCTCTACAAATAAGCGAGAATCTTGATAGCACAGGAGTTGTACATAAATCGCCTATACTAAGACCGCAGATTTGTAGCAAATTCAATCTATTGGAAGCCCATCAATCTCAAATGTATCCTAACTTCTAATAATACCTCAGACTCCCAATATTTGTATTCTAAATAGTAAAGAATGCTAATCAACGTTACTAAAACACTCAGTTGGGAAACTCGCCGTCGAAACCTGGGCCGGTGGCGTCCACCGAGACCGAGCTAAATGCGACAACAGCGCCACTCTTTGTCACTTGTCTGTACTGTGGTCACCTTGAGCTTTTTGTAAGACTGTTTTTGCGTAAAAACAAACGGAAAAGACTCTTTTTGTTGTAAATTTATTGGAGTTTAGTACAAAAAGAGGGGCGCGTTATGTTTTTAAAATCTTTAGTTTGCAAGGTTTTGCGGCACAATTAATATTGTTTTTATACAACCATGCCTCAGCGGTCCTTTCAGGTAGCGCGTCCAGACCTAGGTGCATTTTAACTTCGGCATGTCGACGCGGCGCGTCCGCCGGGGATAGCGCCCCTGTAACCTCTTCCGTTGTATCTGTTCTTAAAGCCAAAATAGAAGTCACGTGCAGTTCCTCGAGTGGCCGCTGCGGGAGAAATGGTGGCGTTGTGTTCGTCATTAGCTCGGTGCTCGGAGACAGATTGGGGTCACTTTTTCAAATCTGTCTCTATGGGAGTTTCCCAACTGAGTGTTTTAGTAACGTTGATGCTAATGGACAATAAGGACAACCCTTTTAACAGCAGGTACGTAGGTTGCCTTAAAAGCGAAAGGTGCAAATATTGTGGTTTAATACTCTCAGAAATAATTTCATGCTAATATGTAAAATGTAAAATTCACAAATCGTAAATTCATGGACGAGAAGTTTATTAAATGCCGCTATAAGCGGTTACGTATTCAGTGATATTCAAGCTGAAGCAAGAATGAAGGGGAAGAATTAATAGCGGAGGCTAAGGTTTGAAGGAATCAAAAACACTATTTTCCTAAACGTAAATATGTCGTTGCCAGACTATTTAGTACATAAATCACGAACACTATACGCCTGAATGAAATTATGTCGTTGTTTGTCAGTAAATTTATCAGTTTTGGTTACTCGTCATGAACATTGATGTAGATCATTTGTTTGTTGAAACTACGATCCACCAATCCCAAGAAATTATTTTTGAGTTATACTCACAATTCTTTCTGCAACCAGAGATCCAATCAGCATAGCCACCTTGTAGGCCGAGAAGACAAAGCCGTATTTCCATGCGTCCACATGTTTTGACGAAGCCTAGATCGCAGCGTTGGAACACAAAATAACAGATTTGATTGCGACTGAAGAAAAAAACGCGTTCGCTGAAGAGATTAATATTCGCTTCGGAGTATATACATCTGCCCTAGCATGACATGTACACACAAGTGATCAACTCTCATTCGTCACTAACTACAATAGCAACTAAGTGCGTTGCTCATTACCGAGCGTCGAAAGAATCACGTTACTGCACTTAAATTATTATAAGTAAAGTTCTTTTCTTCTTCGTATTGAATACAGTGTATCTAGTTACCGCTTGAAGATGAAACAAGGATTCGGTTAAAAGGTCGAACACTAGAAAACCTCGTAATTTTACTTTACTTATATTTACTCATTTGTACGTCTATTTTATAGATCGTGACAGAAATACGGCACACCTAAGGGTAAAGTTTGGGGCTGTCGGATTGCTCAGGGAAAGGTAACTAATTGCCGGCTCAGGTTACTTGAACAAAAAATAACTAAGAATCGTTACCCTTCCTTGTTCGCAAAAAATAATATTCATCTTGCTTCTATAAAAACGGAAACTAACAAGTAGCGAGACTCTTACTGTGTTGTACACGTTTTTCCAAAAAAGGAACAAAAGCTGGTTTTTCGTTCCTCCTCAACCTTGGAACGAGTTACCGTTAGTTGTTCCAGTGGTTCAAAAGGAACACGCCCACTTACCATTCTAAGATGGAACGGGTTGTTGCATTAAAGTTACATTTGCGTCTTTTAACGGAATATTGTCCTAAACAATTCGGACATTAGAGACAAAACAAAAACAAGCAAGTGAAAATAGCCACTTCGAACTACGTATCGAGTCGCCATAATCACATCTGCTCCAGTTCCTTGTTCTTTACTACCTTTCCGACACTTCACCATTCCTCGAAGTTCGGTCTTGTGGTAGTCGCTAATAAAAAGCCTAAATTCCTACTAAATTTCGGTACAATTGAAAACAGGGAACGCCGTTCCACCTGCCGTTCCCTTGAAAACGCGACGAGTTTTCATTCCAGATCCACAAACGCGAAATGAATTGGCGGCATTCCTACGTCCCTTCTAAAAGGAACGCATTAATCAGGACGTCGTTCCTTTGAACGTCGTTGCGTACAGCACTGGTTTCTATAACACGATCTGTAAGAGATTTGTTTTTAAAACTTTTTAAGAAACATTAGAAAGACATACTGCTCTCAAAAGCTTAATACTGTGATATAGTTTTCTAAAGGTAGTTATTTAAGATGCACGCGCTCCTTAAAACACAACTCATTTATTAAAAAAGACATCTCACTTTCTTTTTTTTTTTCATGTGCTGCTTCAGAATAAAGTAAAAAAATGATTGCACGGATGATTTTAATTCATAAGAATAAACTCAAGACATATATATTCTATTTAATTTGTTTTACATGTTTCTAAAAAAATGTACTACATAACAAGCACACAGTGCTATATTTTTTTTTTTTTTACATCGACTATCGCTTGGCTGCTCCGGACAATTTACGTTGAAAATACAAAATTCTGAAGACGGTTCCCATATTTTGACTTGAGTTTGTCTATCAAGTTTTTATTTCATGCATGCGCTTCATTATTGTAATGCTGATGTTTTTAACTAAATTCAAAAATTAATCCTGGCGGTTCAGTTCACTCCAGTGTCAACACTATATTCTACCATATTTTTACACAAACAAGGAAATGCTAATTTAGTCATTTTGATTGTTACGGCTCCTGAGATGTTGTGCTCAGAGTGGCCAATTGTGGTCTTCAAATGTAATGGAGTTAAATTGTTTTAATATTGACAGTTTGAGCTTAAACTTACTCACCGAACGCCGCTAAGTACACGAAAATGGCTGAAAATTGCTGAGTACCGTTCAGTTTCTGATGCGGCAAAGTTTCCAGCACAATTTTGTTTCAATTCTCCACCCTGCTCACAACAGAGCTTAAGGCACTAGAACACACGATAAACCTAAATCCACGCAAAAAAAGAAAACAGCAAAACATCGGAAAAGGTTTTGGTGCTCTAGAACAAAGCTTCAAGATTGTGAAGCAATCTAACTAAGTACAATTACTGAAGATTTCTTTCGACTTAAAAATGCACAGTGACTGTGATCGTAAGCAATCGTCGTAGCTTAAAGTCATATAATTACCTATTTTGCAGTGTTCGTCTTTACACGATATCACGAACAAGCACGTAGCTTTAAAGAAACCACAAATGAGAGAACCTCGCTGTTTATTTTTTTTGTCACCAAGAAGCAACAAAGAGAGATGCTCTATTACAAAGACATTAAAATAAGAAAGATACAACAAAATTTCCACTTACGAGTATTGGAAAGAAAGCGGTGATGAGAGAGAACGTCGCCGATATCCAGAACTCACTGTAAACCAGCGGAAGGAGCCAGGCGTTTCTACGAATCTTGGTCCAGCAGCTCTCGCTCTCGTCGCTCGATTGCTCTCGTCTTTCCAACTTCCCGACGGATTTGCGGGTTTGACGGTTGCTTTCTGTGAGACCGCTGCTACCGTTAATCTTGCTGCCTCCTTCCACATGTTCGAATGCGGCGTTGGCATAACTGTTATTCTTCTCGGGCGGGTCATCGCGCACCAGACTGTCATCCATGCCTCGTTTGGTCTTCTGGATAGTGCTGCCGCTTTGCTGTCTACGGCCACTAAAAAAAAAAAAAAAAAAAAACGCAAACATTAAGAAAAGCAAAAAAAAAAAAAAAAAGACATAGCGAGCCCGGAATAAGTACCCGCATGCCTGTAAAGAAGACCACCTGGCGCCGAGAGTAGCTCGCCATACAATTATGCGGACAAAAAACAAGCAAAAGAATAATTTTTCTTGTATGTGGGGTTTATTATTAATGTATTTTTGTTCATCTGCACCAGAATGCGTTTCCTGGAGTCTCGACCGAGGTGCGACGCGGTGCCATGATCTCGGCGTTCTGCCCTTCAGTTTTTCTACACCTCACAAAAAAAGCAGTAACAAATATCATAGCGTAATAGATTTCTTTCTTCCTTTTTTTTTTTTTATCTCCGCCGTTTTTTTTGCGTTTACTAGGAAATCCGCACGCAAAACATTCTGGTGAAAAAGAGATTTTGTCCAAAACATGTGAAATGAACATTAGTGTTTTCTTTTTGTGCGATGCAGCTGCACTGAAGATGCACGCGTTTCTGTTCTCCCGTTCATGTGTAAGTCCAACAGCAGCCGTATCCCAAGGGATACAATAAAGCAACATCAAGAGCGCATCGTTACGGCGCTCTGTTGTCTCTATGGGCATCTACGCTATCACCGGCTACTTAAATCGCGCGCAGACAAATCTCGGGATTCACGGCGTATTCAGTAGGCGTGATTGGCACAGGGGGGGGGGGGGGGGGGATTACAACCGCACAAACGAGGTTAGCGCCGTGACGATGCAACTTTGGTGCTCTTTGATGGACCCGTGGAATGGTAGCGTCGACTGCGGTCGGACATAATAGGGAGTTTTAGGGAACCGATGGGCCCTCCGGTACGAACTGCGCATGAGCTACCGCAAAAGATTCCTACTTCGTGCCGGAGGGCCCCGTCGTACCGTATCAGTTGTGCAAAAAGGTTCCTTAAATTTTTCTTCTAATCTCGAAGGGAGTATAGACATAATAACAGCTTATTTACACACCCCCCACGATGAGGTTAACCTGCAACTATACTTCTTCTCACCCTAGGATGGACTAAAGTCAAGAGGTCCATTAGATCCAATCACAAGCCACTTTGAAATTGCGTGGTATTTCGCTTCGATGCACGTGTCGGTGCCTGCGTCTAGGATCACTTACGGGTATGGGCGGACAATGGTTCGAATTGAATAGCACTGAGTGACTCATTCATTTTACGTCGCAAAGAAAGCCACGACGTACAGTCTCTTTGCAGTGTCGAAGCTATGGAAATGATACAGCTTTTCTTATTCGGAGCATTATTCGTTCGCCTTTAATAAATGTTAACCATGTTATAGTTTAGCGTGGAACGTGATTGGACCTAGCGGCCCGTGGCTTTGGCCTTTAGTCGATCGTAGGATGAGACAAAGTATAGAGCTGACTTGCTAGTTCCCGAAAAAGGAAAAAAAAAATTTAGGTTTGGGGACTAGTAAAAGCAAAACGGAGAAAAGCTAAAAAAGAGATATAACAAAAGAAAAAGTACCCATTATTTACCTCAAAGTTCAAGGTATTTTAAATACACGAGTACCAGTAAGACAATTCATCGGTGCTTTCGTGGTCATATATCGTCATCATCAGAAGTTGACCAAGGCCAAAGAAGTTAGTTCGGTCGGATTTATTCGATTTGTTCTTCGACCCAGGTTGTATCTGCATAATATTCCTTTGCGAGAGTTGTGCGGTGCAGTTGCATAATTCGTGGTTTGCTGCTGTGGGAGTTCAACATATATGCCATCCCGCAATGGACTCGGGTGCACCAATCATTATTCTCTCTTGAATCGGTTTGATCAATGCGAGCGACGACCGCCAAGCAGTGTTTTACACGTCCCTGAAAAAAAGGAACGAAAGCTCGTTCCTCGTTCCTTCTGATTTTTGGAACGCGTTCCCGTTACAAGTACCATCTGTGAGAAAGGAACTCGTTCCCGTTACAGTTCAAAAAATAGAACGTATCGTTACATGTTCGTTACATTTCTATTTTTTGCTAATTTCCATATTTAGTTAAATCAAGCAAAGTTTTGGGTTTTTTATTATTTCTCCCGTTAGTAGTCAACATACGAGTTTGTATGTCGTGATGGAAGAACACCCGGAGAAGAAAACACGCGGAAGCAGGGCTTCATTTGTTGATATATTCATGTTAAAAATCTCAGCTATTAACCATGTCCATGCTTGTAGTGGACAATTCAGACGAGCCAAACGTACTTTTACCCAAAATTGCTCGAGCGTTTTACAAGAACCTCACACGTTTCAATTTAACGGACTCCCGTGTTAGAACTTAACAACAGTTGCTTCTCGATGTTGCCGTCAGCAAGAGGAGCAAGTAAAGGAGAGTGTAGGGCTTTCGGAAAGTCAGTCTTGAAAGCTACAATTGCTTCGTTGTGAAGGTTGGATTTGCTGTTCAGTTTGAAAGGGGGGGGGGGGGGACAAGAGAAGGAATAGAGGTTATTTTTTTGTATCTTTTAAGTGACCGATGTTCGGGATACAAGGGTGAGTCCGATATCTGGCAATCTGTGATCTTGTTGTAATTGTAGGTCTCGTTATTGAAGTCCAGAAATGGCTGTAGTTGGAATACGATTTCTTGGTGAATAAGAATTCGTCAACCAAAGAACGTAACTGAGTTGGAAACAACCAACCTTCTTTGTCGTTTCCTACGACTAAAAGTTTTGCATTTTGTACCGCAGTTTCGGGCACTCAAAAAAGAATCAATGCCCACCAGCTCTCCTGCACCCTTAACTGTTAGCAAGCGAGGACCACACAAAATAATTCATAAGATTAATAGCCAAAAAGTTAACGAGATGCTGCTCTTCGTAAAGATATTGTTTATGTACTTTCATACTTTCCCTGCTAGAAATAAAATAAAAATGACCCCACTGCACGAAAAAAAGGAAAGCCGTTACTCTTTCCGTTCCAGTAAAAATGTAACGCGTTCCCGTTCCAGTTCCAGCGATGGGAAATGGAACGGCGGTGTTCCTTCGTTCCTCCTAAAAGGAACGCGTTCCAGGAACGCCGTTCCTTGGAACGCCGTTCCGTACAACACTGCCGCCAAGCAACAGTCAATTGCCCTTTCGGTAACAAAAAAAAAGAAAAAGGTTGTGCCTTTTTTTTTGTATATTAACGACCTTTGTGAAATGTGGCACTGATCGCTCATCTAGTTGTTTGAACTGGTGAAAGGAAGACGTATCATTGGTGAACCGAACGTATTGTGAATTAGAATACAGTCCGGATGTTCAGGGACCGCGTTGTTAAAGCGTTTGAGAGTTATTTCCGAATGGCACTCCTTGTAAATGAAATAAAACAAATATAAAACGATATTTGAGGTCAATATATATTTTTTATGCATCTGCAACCAAGTAATAACAATTGTATTAAACTTCATGAGCCCTAGTTTAGTCCCCAAAAATATTTCAATTCACTTTATTAGTTTAACGTTCAAGCTCTCACACTATCTCAAATCTTTCGTTACCACGGGAAAACTGCGCATTTTTAAAGGGTGCCTCTATATGCAAATGTGCCTTCAAATTTCGAACACTGTATACCAAATTGTTGTGCAATAAACACTTTTTTTAATTATATGAATATGAAGTCTAAATTATTATGCAAAATTTAATTTCTAAAACCAAAATTATTCTGGACAACGCAACAAATATTTAAAAGAAATACAGCTACATCGGTAAAACGAATTTCAGAATATACAAAATATGCTAAATTTTAATAGCGAAAAATGCCACAAATTGCAGTGCTCTCGATAAATATCTCATTAAGTTCTACCACAGAGACTCAACCATCGTGGCCTGCATGCTTTTCGGTGAGCAGTTTCTGGATGGTAAAACGCAGGTAAATGTATCAGGTACGGCGGAAAACATTTTTCTTGTGCTCAACTTCGCACTCCTCGTAGAACATCTTGCAGTTGTGCCGCTTCTAAAATTCTTCTTTTTTTCTTTTTGGTTGAGTTTGGGGGGGGGCGGGGGGGGGGGGGGGGGTTATGCAGTTGTTCAGCGGTAGGAGGGGGTCAAACATACGCTACACCAAGCCCAAGGCGCTGTTGGGGGAGCCTCGTTCCGAACACCAGTTGATCAACATGCACACTTCTGTCGAGTTTAGGAATATTACGCAGTTTGGTTTGGAGCGCACGTTCATTTATTTTACTGTTGAATATGGACATGACGAAAACCTCACATGCGCCAAGTTTTCAGTCACCAAGAGTTACACCTTTTCACTCTAGCGACGCTAAAACACCTTAAAATAGTGGAGTCGCATTTTTAGAGGTCACGACCACCACTAGGGGCTGTTTCGTGGCCCGTAGCTGGCCACAAGATGCTCGCCTATTCGAACCAATGAATAGCCAAACTCTCCTAATACACGGCTCTGGCGCTGCCGGCACTTGCGCGACTCGACTGGATCGGTACGTGCAGCCGTGCAGGTCCCGGAGTGGCTCCTCGGGGAGAAATGGCGACGTTGCGCTCGCGTCTCGTTCAGTTCTCGGGCAAGAATCGGAGCCGCTTTCTTAAAGCAGGCTCCTATCGCAGTTTCCTAACCGAGTTGGTTCTACCAACGCTTGTTATTTTGAATCGTCATTAAATGGGGGAAAAATACTGCACAGAAACTGGAACAAACGTGTATAATCTAACCACCAGATGCCATAACTTGTCCAGAAACGAATCGCAGGTTTTGCAATGGGACTTGCCAATCGTCGATCACCGGTGATCAATTTTGAAGGGCGCTGTACGGAAACAGGCCTCAGTGTCCCGAAGTTTGCTTACAACATTGCGTTTTTTGGGGCCTCACATAAATAAAGATATTAATAACGAGCTGCTTGATTGCTGTCGTCGAGTCATGAGTGAGGAAAAACAAAGCTTGACGGGCGGATATCGAACGATTTTTTGATCGCATGAAGATATCACGAATCCTCGCGTTTTCTTAATGTTCCCATCCGTCTAC